TAATAGAAAGTGAAAGTTCAAACCGCTTGCACTTGGTGGAACCAAAAGACACATGCACGCGAGACGGGAGCATGTTATAGCTGCACGCACACTCACTCGCACTCGGTTGATGCATTCATTGGCAGCATGACCACACACAAAAAAAAAAGTTTGACCTTCGTGATTATTTTAAAAAGAACAGGTGAGAAGCTTGGATTTGACTCATGCCCAGACAATTTAAGTGACGTGATTTCTCACACAAAACTTGAATGTTGCAGACTGGCTATTTCCACAGAAATGCCTTATCTAGCTATGCTACTGTTAGCTAGCACTCTGTTCTTCTGGTGCTGGGAGGTATTCCAATGGGACAGCTTTGCTGCTGTCTCGGTTTGGTTTGGCCTCGTTGCCTAGGACCACTACCCTTCCCAGCCAGCTTCAATGCTATTGACCACCTGGCTAGTCCTCCAGCTCGGTGCATGGCTAACAACAACTAGCGCTAGGCTAACTCCACCAGTGCCCGGCCTGATGCTGAAATATTCCACCTTGCAGCTGCTGAGTTTCAAGAACTCCATTGCTCCAGCGTGTGTCACAGCCATCAGACAGCACGGATTTCCATGCCGACCCCGTTATATCCACCGAAGTGCCCGGAAAAAGTTAATCTATTCTCAACATGGTCCTGCTATGATTCCTTCCATCTGGTCCCCAGCTGAACGCGTCGCACCTCTACGACGTCATCGGAAGGCTGGCGCACTAGGGATTTGTAGCAGCTACCGCTGCTATCCGCGAGATCACAGCGCTAGGCGAAATGGAAGAAATGGAGTGGATCACACTGTGCTGCAGAGTTTGCAGAGACTTCCACCACCAGCTCTGTCTCCTGTCACTATGGAACTGTTCAACAAGAAATCCCTCCTCATCCACAAACATATTCTGGAAAAAAGGCTTGACTTTATGTGTCTAGTTGAAATGTGGCACAAACCAGGGAACCATCTTCTGCTGAATGAAGTCTGCCCCCCTGGCTATAACTACATGGAGAGAGCCCATAGCTCAGGCCGAGGTGGTGGTCTACTCATCATTCATTGGGCTGAACTGGAACTCTCTCCTTTGCCGATGCCTGACCTTACCTCCATGGAGTGTCTAGCTTTCAAATGCAAACCTCCATACTCCATGACAGTGCTTCTCATATACCGACCCCCCAAGCCAAACCCATTATTCCTCCCTGAAATACATGATCTACTGACATCACTCTGCACCATATCAACCAATATTGTCATCACTGGTGATATTAATATCCATGTCGACAACTCCACCTGTCCTTTTGCAACAGAGTTTCTGAGTCTGCTTGAATGTCTTGGTCTGCAGCAACATGTCGAGGTCCCCACCCACAACAGGGGCCACACCCTAGATCTGGTCATTACTGACTCAGCCCCCATCAAGAGCCCAGATCATTCTGGGGGTGTCCGACCACAAGGTGGTCTCAATGGACTTGACATTTCTGCTGCCCTCCACTAGACCTAAGTGTCAAATGTCCTTCGGGAATTTAAAATGCATCTACTCTGTTGACATGACCACAGACCTCCAACGTATCACCTTCCCAGCCTCTGCAAACATGGATGAACTAGTGGAGCACTATAATACATCGCTGAGCAATGTTCTTGACCTTCATGCCCCTGTCAAGACACGAGAGGTCAGCTTTGAACGCTCTGCCCCCTGGTTCACACAGGAACTGCAGAAAATGAAAACGGCTGGCCACACCCTGGAACGTCGACTCAGACACACTGGGCTCACTGTTCACAAACTGGCCTTCTGTGAACATCAAAGAGCCTACTCCAAGACCCTCAAAGATGCTCGATCACAATTCTACCCCAACCTAATCAATAATAACACTGGCAACTCTAAGAGGCTTTTCTCTACAATAAATCATCTCCTGAAACCACAACCATCTTCCCCCACTCAAGCTACAGATGAGCGATGCAACAACTTCATTGACTTCTTCAAATCCAAAGTTGACAACATCTGCTCTCTGATGCCTAGCTCCTCCTCTCTGTTTGCCCCGGCCTCCAACCCCTTGATGGGGAGGTTGCCATCCCTCCCATGCTTCTCTGAAGTTCCCATTCCAACCACTCTGCTCAAATCATACATCCCCATCCTCAGTCCAATCATCACCCAGGCTGTAAACCTTTCCTTGCAAACTGGTTGCGTCCCACCTGCTTTCAAAGTTGCAGTCATCCGACCCCTCCTTAAGAAACCCACCCTGGACCCAGAGGCTCTCACAAACTACAGGCCTATTTCAAACCTCGCCTTTCTGTCCAAGGTACTATAGAAAGCAGTTGCCTCCCAGTTTCAGGACTACCTCAACACTGTGGACCATACCATTCTACTGGAGTCCCTTCAGAACACCATTGGACTGTCTGACCATGCACTGCAGTGGTTTCAGTCCTACCTCTCAGACAGGAAGGAATATGTCTCACTGGGAGGACGCAAGTCCAGGCTGCTCCCTGTCATCTGTGGTGTTCCGCAGGGGTCAGTTTTGGCCCCCTCATTTTCATCACCTACATGCTCCCCCTCAGTCGTCTCATCAGCAGACATGGGATGTCCTTCCATTGTTATGCTGATGACACACAACTCTACATCAAAACTGCCCCAAACCCCTCTGCAGCCCTGTCATCCCTCACCACCTGTCTCAAGGAGATAAAGGCATGGATGAACAATAACTTTCTCCAACTGAACAGCAATAAAACAGAAGCACTTCTCATTGGCACCCCACACCAGGTTCAGTCTTCACTCATATCCCAATTTACCTTTTACGGCCAGCCCATCCCTCTCTCCTCCTCAGTTACAAATCTGGGGGTTCGGTTTGACCCCCCTTGACCTTCAATGACCATATAAAACACCTGTGCAAGAACTCATTCTACCATCTTCACAACATCTCCAGACTCTGCCCCACTTTAACCCTCCCAGATGCAGAGAAGCTAGTCCATGCCTTTATCTCCTGGAGACTGGACTACTGCAACGGACTCTTCATCGGGATTCCTGACAAGAACATTCAGAAGCTGCAATACATCCATTGCTCATATGACAAATTTAACATTATCATTGCAAAACGTTAGCTAACTAACGTGGTGGACCTTTATTTTCAAACCTCACACAGACGCCTTCTGTTCAAAATATTATCTCCCTAAATGCCTAAATCCTAACACTTCTCTGTTAGGTTCTGAATTCAATGCATCCCGGATTGGTGTCTTGCTCGAAGGCTAACCATTAGCTGGCTGTCTCTCTTTCTGTCTCATTGTGTCATACGGATTACTGTTAATTTATTATGCTGATCTGTTCTGTACGACATCTATTGCACGTCTGTCCGTCCTGGAAGAGGGATCCCTCCTCAGTTGCTCTTCCTGAGGTTTCTACCATTTTTTTCCCCCGTTAAAGGTTTTTTTGGGGGGAGTTTTTCCTTATCCGCTGTGAGGGTTCAAAGGACAGAGGAATGTTGCATGCTGTAAAGCCCTGTGAGGCAAATTGTGATTTGTGATATTGGGCTTTATAAATAAAATTGATTGATTGATTAATTGATAATAATTCAAGAAAGAAGAATAATAAGATAAGAAAAATCTGTAAAATAACAGTGTTTCAATGCTTAACTTTAAGTTATGTCAGTTTCTTAAAAGTATTTGATTCTAATCATTTAGGAATAATCTGTAAAATAACAGTATTTCAATGCTAATGTACAATCATAATAATTTAGAAAATATCTGTAAAATAACAGTACTTCAATGCTTAACTTTAAGTTCTGTCAGTTTCTTAAAAGTATCTGATCCTAATCATTTAGGAAGAATCTGTATAATAACAGTATTTCAATGCTTAAATTAATGTATGATCATAATAATTTAGGAAAAATCTGTCAAATAACAGCTTATCTTGTCTGTAAATTAATAGTTTTTCCGCATAATTTTATTTAATGTAATTTTACAGTAAGAAATTTTACAGTACTGTAAGTTTACAGTAAGTGTTTGGCAACTCTTGCTGCCAGACATTTTACCGGTGTTTTTTTTTTTACGATTTTTTTTTTTTACAGTGCATGTTAGACTTCCTCAAGGAGAATAGGGGCCAATAGCCCTGATGGTGGCGCTACAGCGACTGTTTAAAGTTCAAAACTTTAAACATTCACAATAAATCACCTGTATGGCCAATGCACTTTCCAAAAAAAAAAAAAAAAATCCAACTTGGGATATTCAGTTTACAGCCTTACAGTTTTGGGTAAATACCACAGTTCTTTCCATGCAGTACACATGTGTTATTCCCGCCTGTACCTCAAATTAATTTTTCAGGTTCCTAGCTTTCATTTGGTGTGTTCCACCTCTTTGTGGTATCTACTAAAGAAGGTGAATAAGGAAAATCTCATCACTTTCTGCACTGCTCTCGGGTAGACAGGCATGGACTTAGTTTTTTTTTTATATATTTAAAATTTACTATTTGCATTTCAGCACAGAGGAGCATGATGGTTTACCTTGCATGGACAGTTATCACAACCCAAGTTTTCCCCACTGCATGGGTAGCTCAGTTACAATATTGCCATGTCAAAGGTTATAAATTGAAGCCTTTAGTAAATACTTATGCCTACTCTGCCATAGTACTGTAGACACAATATTTCAAAGACCTTTTTCAAGGTTTAATGATTTTTGGTCTGGAAAGTTGTGCTGATGGACCCTCTTTTTCTTCTTCTTGCTCCTCAAAATGCCTGGCCCTGACCCACTGCTATGCAACAGTTAAGGTTGTGTTTCAGGCCTCATTGATATAAGTCCAAAGATTCACTTTAATTTTTAGCTCTGTTTTGTTCTTGACCAACTCCTGGGGAAAACATTTGGCTCTTGAGCTGTTCCACTATGTTCACCAGCTAATTGCTAACGTTGTCTGACTGTTGTTTGGTGCTGAGCAGGTAGTGGACACTAAGTCTATCTTTACAGTTAGATCAGTAATCACACGATGTTGTTTCAATTGTTATCAGCTGTGTCATTAGATAAAGTTACCTCCAGATCCTTTTGAGTGTTCATTTCTTCCAGGTTGTGGTATGAATGTGCATAGACCTCCAGCACTTTAGCATGGAAGAGCATCTCCACTGTGATGAAGTCTGTGAAAATCCTCTGTGAAAACAAAGCAATGGTTTTGTCAGGGGGATATTAATGTTTTAACTGCCGAAGGATGTTTGTGTAAGTGCGTAAGTGTGAGACTGACTTTGATATCCTCTAGCTTCTGTCTCTGGAAGTCTGTGATGGTCTCCTCCAGTTGTCTGATATTGCGCTGGGCATTGTTGGAAGCCTTCTGAGCATTTACTTCTGCCTGTCAATTAAAATACAATACAATACAATACACAAAGCTTTACCTTACAGTCAGTATGAGCTGCTTGAAGGGTTGGTAATGTGATGATATTGAGAAGAAAATATGAAAAACATGTACGTTACCTGGGACTGAAAGATTTTGTCAAGAAAATATTCTCAAGTATGTAATATATTTTTACAAACATATTCAGCATATCTATTTTTATGGCGTTATTTATTCATGAGGTATTTGGTCATGAGGTTAGGGCATTTTCCTTATATTAATAAGACATCCATCCACCCGGCAGCTTATGTCGGCATCTTGATGCCAAATCAGAAAAAAATAAGAAGAAAAAATTAGTATCAGATATTAAAGTGAAAACTTTATCGTTATAACAATATTTTTCAGTTTTTAACAAGATACCTTTATGTCATAACAAGATATTTTCACATTATAACAAGAACCTTTAATTGTCAGAACACTACTATCTGTCTTATAAAATATTTCATGTTATAAGGTGATCACTTATATTGTTTTAATGTGAAAGGTTTCACGTTCTAATAGTCCAGGGGCCAAGGGGCTAATTTCACAAATTGGTATCACTTAAAGGGACCAAACAATTTTGGTATTTTTGACTTCCTCTATGTCTCTAGTTTACATTTTAGTATGATAGACCTGCCTATGTAGTAGCTTAATAAAAATTTTTGGATGATCTTTGGGTCCTCCCCAAACTTGAAAACAGTCAAAACTGAGGCTTCTCCAAAAGGGACAGTGTCTGCCTTATCACGTGAATCTCGGGAAATAATTATCAGAATGTCACCAAATTTGGACTGAATGTTCACAGACAGTTGCTGCACACAATGCGGCAAAGATTTCATCAGTACCTTGCTCCTTTTAAAAAATGTATACACCTAAACACACATGAATTACAGACCGACATGGTAAAGGAATAAAAAATCCAAAAGGCATGTATATATGTGGTTTCCATTATTTATGTAAATAAGCCAATCACCCCAAAATTGCATTTATATGTGCCAAACAATGTCATCTTATCATAAAAGTAGGTTATTAGATTATTCACCTCACTATCTGATGTCACCAGCCCCTGACAGGTAACTAGTGCAGCCAGAACTTCAAACAGATAAATAGAATGGGGCCCTATTAGTACAGGGGCTAAAGGGATCGTTTTCACAACTTGGTAGGCCCCTATCACCCACGGGGACCAAACAATTTTGCCATTTTTATCACTCTACAGGTCTCTAGTTTATATTTTGGTATGATAGCCCTGCCTATCTAGTAGCTTAATTATAGTTATCACTCTGTAAACAAACTTACACCCGTGTAGGCAAAACACTACAAATAGGGCGAAAAATTAACTAATATATATCCCCATGTAACTTGCCCAGTTGATCACTCATATTAAGTCAAGTATTTCTTGTATTACAAATTTTCTGAAATATTTTATTTAAATATGCACCAATTTTGTTAATGAAGACAATCACAAGGAGGGGAAATTGATTACACAGTTACTGTGCTAACACTCAGTGTTACTGTAGCCTACAGTAGGCCTACTAGCACTCAGAGCTGCCCAGTTGCTATTTGACCCATAACTAGGAGGCAAAGGGAGTGCTACCACTTGCCTAAGGCGGACTCCCAGGCTAGCAGAGGGAAGGAGGTACCTTATTTCTCCATTGTAGGCCGTCCTAAAATAGAGGGCCCACCTGCTGTCCTCATCCTAGCTAACACTACTATAGAGCTACTATACTGAAATTGAATGTCAGCGAGCATGGAGAGACAGCAATGGCAGACTCTGAATCAGGTGGAGAAGAGACAGGAGCTGTGGCTGGTGAGTCCTTAAAACAGAGGGAGAGATGGCATAAGGCAGAGCACAGAGATAATCAATCAATCAATTTTATCAATTTTATTTATAAAGCCCAATATCACAAATCACAATTTGCCTCACAGGGCTTTACAGCATATGACATCCCTCTGTCCTTTGGACCCTCACAGCAGATAAGGAAAAACTCCCCCCAAAAAAACCCTTTAACGGGGAAAAAAAATGGTAGAAACCTCAGGAAGAGCAACTGAGGAGGGATCCCTCTTCCAGGACGGACAGACGTGCAATAGATGTCGTACAGAACAGATCAACATAATAAATTAACAGTAATCCGTATGACACAATGAGACAGAGAGAGAGAGACAGAGAGAGAGAGAGATGCAGGACAGACGGTAATGACAGTAGCTTACAACAACATTAATGAAAGTAATATTATAATTAATAATAATATATTAATATCTGATAGTATACATGTGTGACAATAATCATATGTGTATAATAACAGTAGAAGTATGACTAATGATAACAGCAGCAGCAGGAGGCATCT